AAATTAGAATTATGATTTAAATGAAAATATGTGAGAAAAAAGGTGAGCAAAAACATAATAAAGGGAAGTGGAAGGGAACAAAGGAAATAAGGGAAATGGACGGCCCAGATTGGACTGCTTGAGGAGATCAGATGGCTGAAATTTAAAAAGAGAACGGACGATCTAGATCAAGTTAGGAAGATACAACAGTTGGAGAAACGGATATAAAAGGAAAAGAGATTGGGTTTTCTCTTCATTGTAAAGGTAGCCAAAAAAGAGAGAGGGAGAAGAGGGAGGAGCGATTTGGGAGAGAAGGAAGAAGAGAGTTGTCTCACGGGGAAGAGAAAAGAGAAAGGAAAAGAAAAAAAGAAAGGAGAAAAAAGGATAAAGGGAATAAAAAGGCATGGCCAAGCGAGGAAGGTAGAGAGAGCCGAGAATGGTCATCGTAAGGGGAAGAAGAGAAAATAAAGAGTGGCAGAGGCAGTGAGTGGTGGGTTTGGTGCCGACAAAAAGAAGAAGGGAAGGAAATCGACCGAGACGCCATGCGAAGGTAAGTTTTGTCCTTTTTATTTCGTTCTTCTCTTCGTATTTCATTAGATTCTTTTATTTTACTTATTAATCAGTTTGTAGGTTTGAGAAATCACCATCCAAACCTCAAGCAAGTTAGGAGCCGCAGGGTGGCCAAGAGGAGACCATTGGGAGCCAAGTCGAGGCTGAACCGTTTGCACCGAAGATAAAATTGTTTGTTTTTAAGGTTTGGGTGATGGTTTCGACGGTGGTGGAACGAGGCCAGTTCCGAGCTGGCCGCAGTGCTGGGCTGGCCGCAGTGCTGGGCTGGCCGCATGGGCTCGGCCAGGCCACCCATCCACGCGGAAACCAAGGAGGTTTCCTCGGAAATGGGGAAAACCCACCCACCTGGAAGTCAAAGGGTCTTCTGCAGGAATAGAGGCCGGAATTGCCTTTTGGGATTCCGATTCACCATCTCGGCAGTTGAAAAGTCTTTCTCAAAAAACATAAATCTGATTTGTCGAACGGAAAGCTGAAAGATTTTTTATGTACGGATCCTGATAATTTTGGGTATTTCGTTGGGTGGTTGTTGGAACTCGTAATTTGATTAAATTAATTTTTAATATTTTAAAGTATTTTGTCGTGTGTACAAAAAAATTTGAACATCCAGGCGAATATAGGAAGACGTATAGGAGAGTAAGAATTTCTAAATCTCAGCTAGGTTTGAATTTCGAAAAATGCATTCATTTTATTAATTTATGAATTTTGAAATTTGAATGGACATTGACTCAATTTTCGATGAAAAATAAAACTCAAACTATGATCAGTAAACTTAAGTGATTGGAAACCTATGAGGAGACGAAACCAAAAGACAAACCCAATAGACTGAGGGTTATTTGGACTGATGAAATACGAAATTGAAAAGGAAAATTCCCAATTAAGGAAAAAATTGAAAAGGAAAAAGAAATAAAATAAAAAGGTAAAAATAGAAAAGGAAATAAATAACTGAGGTATGAAACGATCATTTAAATAAATTAAGAATTTTGGAATGAGAGGGTAGGAGTGAATAGGGTAAGGACCCTAAATACCTTATCGTTTAGTCTGAATCGAGAAGGGGAGTATGTGTGTGGCTGAAGTTCAGCAGGCATGGTGAACCTGCACATGAATAGAGTATGAAACCTAATCCAAACGTGGATGGACATTTGTGAGTGTGGGTCACCTAGCAAATGTATCTGCTGTGACCATTATAAGATTTATGTATATGTGTTATCCATACGATGGGGGATCTATTTTGTCTTTCCTCGACGATGACATAAACGATATCGCGCGATGAAACTACAGAAATGACATTTTGAGTGTATCTGTGATCTTTTATATGTGTGATTATGTTTCGAAATGACGATTGATATTTGAGGATATTTATGATTTTCGAAAGTATGAGAATATACATTTGAGAGAATTCATAAGATCGATCAAGAACATGTGAAATAGTAAAAATAAGAACATAAATTTTGCACAGAAATATTTTTATTATTTTTGTTTCTTACCGTGTGTTTTGCACCAAATTTTATCAGGGTTGAGAGAACGAGAATACTTATTGATTTGGTGAATCTCATTAAATTTCACTCTGATATTTTTTAAAGTAGAATGAAGAGCCAGCACCGCTGCTAGACGAGTAGAACCTGTAAAAGAGTTCTTATTTTTGTATATTTTGTGCATATTCGAGAAGTTTTATTTATTCTGTTAGATTATAAATTTTGACCTCATGTTATATATATATATATATATAGTTATTATGCATATCATATGTGATGATAGGTTGTATTATATTTTTTTTATTTATGCATGTATATATTTTATAGGTTCACTGCATGAAAATGACATGAGCAGAAATTGTACTTCATATTAAATATCGGGATGTGACAACATTATTGAACAATGGTAAAAACTTTATGTTCTTTTCTTTTTTCTTTTACTTTTCAAACCCTTTTGTGACTCTTCTTTTTGATTATAAACGGTGGAATCGGCCATTTCGATATCTAAAAAATGATCGATTTGAAAATGCTGTAAGAAATCAAATGTCACAATATTTTTTTTATACATGTCAAAGTGATGGAAAAGAAAGAATATCTTTTACGTATCCACCCAGTTTGGCAACTTTTTTGGAAATGATACAACAAAAGATGCCTTTGTTCACACAAGAAAAATTATCCTCTAATGAATTCTATAATCATTGGATTCTTACCAATGAGAAAAAAGAGAGCAAGTTAAAGAAAGTTAAAGAACGAATTTCTAAATAGAATTAAAGCTTTAGATAAAGGATTTCTTGCTCTGAATATACTCGAAAAAAGGACTCGATTTTGTAATAATGAGACTAAAAAAGAATATTTGCCTAATGTGATTGTGCATAGTTTAGAAATTAATTTTCTTAATATTTTTCTAATATGATTGATAAGTCTCAATATTTAACAAGAATAAATTGTGAACTTTGATTTATTGAAGTTTTTTTTAATTAAAATATTCATAATTGGTTAAAAAGTCCCTTTTATTAACTGAAAATAAAAATTATTATATCACACACAGGAAGCAAACCAGAAAATTAACTTAATTAGCCTGCCAAGTCCTTCAAGCTTCTTCCCATGTCGCTCTTCATTCGTGCCTGTTGGTAACTCGTTTGCATTTGATGCTGCATCATTCGCAGCTTGTTTTGAGCTTTCAGTAGTGAATTATAATCACTTTCTTCTTCATCATTCATTTCATCTTCCTCTTCTTCTTTTTCTTCTTCTTCTTCTTCGCCCTCTTTCCAGTTCTCATCTTTTTCAGCCTCAGCCGTTGCACAACCTAAATGAACGACATAATCACAGTCTGGTTCAGAACAGTTGTAAACCCAGTAGTTCTCAGCGACAGCTCCCTCACAGACATTGCAGCTGAACTCTGAGTCATCACCACCCTTCAAAGATGAAGAACAGGAGGAATAAAAGAGCTTAAGCTGGTGCTCGTGATCGTCACGCTTGAAAGTTTCAGGCTTGGTGGCACAGCCGACATGAAGATCATAATCACAGATGGAGCAGTGATAGGTAAATGAAGTTCCGTAATCGCCGCAAGCATTGCAGGTGAAAATGGCTTGGCCGTAAGGCGGGGAGAAGAAGAGGGAGAGGGAGTGTTGAGGATGAGATTTGTGATATCAATCTTTTGGTAGATCAAAACATGATTTTTGCAGCAAGAAATCACAGGTTGACTTTGTGCATTTGAAAGCTGAGCCCAAGACATCCAGTTCACAGCGAGAACAGATTAGTTCATCTTCTTCTTTGATTTCAGACGGCCGCAGTGGATTTTAATGGCTAAAACGCTTCACACAAGGACGCAAATCACGCTGCTGGCTAACCACGCTAGCCATTGATCGATCTTTCTGCCTTTTTTTTTTATTATCCGCATCTGTCTTTGAATTTCCGATAAACCCATTTCATATGTATATGTATATATATACATATATGGTACCAAGTTGTTGCTTAGTTTTTCAATGGATTGTTAGGTGTTGCCTACTTTTTTCTTGTTCTGGATAGAGATAATTGGAGTAGACTTTTAACATTCCATTGGGTATATGGTTGACGATTCTCTTTTTTTTTTTTACTTTCGTTATCATCTCTTTGTCTTGTTAAGTTGCTGTGAGTATCCATATTATGGATATACATACATGTATACATGCAATGTAAGTGCTTAGCTGTGAGTTGACTTTGACATCTTCAATACCCACCACCAAATAATACAATATACATTGACTTTACATGACAACTAGATAGGACCATATGATTAATTGGTTAGCATTTAGCAGACTTAATAGGAAAGCTAAGTTGCATAATGAATAAAAGTTGAGATTAATGGGGAAACTACCTGGCCAATCTGACCCTGTAATTAACCATTTCAGCCATCCCCATCAATTGCACCTCTCAAATTTTCAGACACACCAAACTTTAGCAGGCCTACCACCTTCCTGCTCAGCTTGCAAGCTCAATATCTATACAGGAGAATGGATGTATAGCTGCAAAATCTGCAACTACTTTCTTCATATCTCATGTTCAAAGTTGCCTCAACAAATCAAACACCCTTTTGACCCGCATGACCATGTCCTATCCTTACTTCCGAATCCAATATACGAACAAGGATTATTCAAATGCGATGCGTGTGGCAAGCAAGGCAATGGATTCTCCTACCACTGTGGCACCTGTGGAATTGATCTCCACACTATATGTGCAACCATGCCATTGATTGTCATACACCATTCTCATCATCACCATCTTCAACTCACATTCTCTCCTCCTTATCAGAACAAGTGCTTCTGTTGTGATGTATGCAAGGATTTGGGGAAGCAGCACTGGCTTTACAGGTGCAGCCCTTGTGGGTTTGATGCTCATTTGTCATGTGCCAGAACTGAGCCTAGAATTCCTCCAGTTCAGCCAGTCCCGGTTCAACAGACCCAAATGGTAGCTAGAGTGGTGGCTCAGCCTCCTGTGACTTACCTGACCAATTCTAGTTATGCAAACCAAGGTGGATTTTTTGCTGCTAGGCCAACCAATGTGTTACTTGGTCCTGGCCTGGTCAGCAATAACAGGAATTTGAACTTGAACCAGGCATTTTTTCAGGGAATACTAAGTGCAACGGGTGGCGGCAGCACCGGTGGTGGTAATGGAGGAGGAGATGGTAATGGTGACTTGACCGGAGTGGACTCCGGAGGAATTGGTGGAATTGATTTTGGGTTTTAGGAGCAATTGGTGAAGGAAAAGTTAATGTTCCTTCATTATCTTCACGCTTAGATGATCATTCTTCAATCATTTCTTGAATTCTCTTTTTTTTTTTTTTTTTTTTTTTGTAATTTGAAATTAAAATTTTATATGCAATTATTTTTATTGTGTATTTTTTTCATTTTGTGATTAGTTTAAGTGTAAATTAATAAATGAATTCTAAATTTTATGTAACATAAATTCTAAAAATTTGACCCTAATATAAGCTAACTCAATCAACATTCAAATGATTAAACTGGAATTAAAATAGTCGTATTTAAAAATAATAGAATTATTAAGTGATGAACACATCTAATTTTTTTTTAAAAAATAGATAAATTTGAAAATAATAGAACTGAAATGTAATAAGAACACTTCAGAAAATAATTCAATCAAAAATAAAATTAAAACATTAAAATATAAATTAAAAAAAGCCTATATCCAAAAACATTTATGTAAAAATCAACACATCTACATGTGAAAATGAAAATTCTACACTAGAGATCAGATAATTTTGGAAGCCCTAAGAATATAAAATAAAATCAACATCCAAATACGAAAAAAAAAAAAAAACATGATGTCTTAAATTAAAACAAAAATATTTAATTTTCTTAACAACACAATTGCAATATAATCCACATGTCAAATATATAAGACAAAAGAGCATCTACATATCAAAGTTAACCAAATGTATATATATATATATATATATATATATATCACTGACAAGCTAGTTTGATTTTATATTAAGGATGACCATTTCTCTATCAAAGTCTATATACTCTTTTTTGTTATCGTCTAATAGACAAAAAAGAGATTTCTTGTAGAGAGCCATTTGGTCCTTGCCTATATCTAAGTGTGTTCTTCAGTTTATATGTAACGCCCAAACAATTTGGGCATTTTTTGTTAGTATTAATTTTATTTAGTTTAATTTAAAAAAAAAAAAGCGTTACAGATGCGTTCCCGCGCACACGGACGGCCCAGATCAAGCGTGCGCACGGACGGCCCAAATTTAATCAAAATGGACGGCTGAGATCAAAAGGCAAAAGGGTATAAATAGAACCCCCACACCTGACCACAAAAACCCTAGCCGCCTGCCCTCACCAGAGAAGACGAACCAGACGCCGGAGGAGCCGGCCGCCGCCACCCGCCGCCGCACCGGGGAGATTTTCGACCGCCGATCGAGGTAAATTTCATACCCCCGACTCGTTTTTCCACACTGAGTTCCCCTGTGACCAAATCGGAGCCAAAATCCCGGCCAAACGGCCGAAAAATACGGCCGAAACCCAGCGGCGCCCCCGCGCCCCTCCTCGGTTTTTGCCTCCGATGAGGCCCTTCCCGGCCTCCGTTTGATGCAATTTTTATATCACCGTGATCACCATTCTTTTCTCTACAGGTTGATCGGAGTCGAATCACCAAAACACGAACCTCGCCGGAGAGCCGCCGCACCCGAGAGCACCGCCGCCGGTAAGCTTCAGTTTTTCGTAATTTTTTGGCCCCCCGAGGGCCCTAGGGTTGTTTTATCACAGGGACCGATGTTAGTGTGGCTGAATTCGACCGAAAACGGCCAACCCGAGGCGAATCGCCGCCGCTTGCGGCGGCGCCGTCGTCGGAGCACGGCGGAGCCGCCGTGCCGAAATTGCGATATTGGCCGAAAGGGGCCCTGGGTCTAATTTGAGATTTTTTGGAACACGTGCAGGTACCAGTAGTGCGTTTCAGTTCCCCGGAAAAAATTCAGAGAAAATTAAGGACAGCCTGTAGGCGCACTGTGAAGCCGTGTTCGGACCCCGAAACGAGTAAGGACCCCTCACCTTATTTCCTATCACGGTATTAAAGTTCAATAATGATAAAATGGTAATTCTTGAATCAACGAATGTGTGAAATTGCTTGAGGTCGCTAATGGAGCCCGAGTCTAGTATGTTTGTCGGTTAACTGTTATTTGGCATATTTTACAGTTTTAAATGCAGTATAAGGTCTGATGTTTTTATTTCATAGTTTCGTGTGCATATTTTACTGTTTTATTGATTATGGGTTGAATGACTGAGAAACCGATGTTGTATGTTGTCTTGTTTGGCATAAATTACTGTTTTGCTTGTTTGTGTGTGAATTGATGATGCTGACTGAGGAAAAGGGGAATGAAAGGTTATATAAATTGATAATTGTATAATATGATCAGCCTGACTAGATATCCTGGGAGATGGTGGACGGACCGGGTCCGTAGGGAACCCTACCGGGATTGTGGTCTCTCATACCGGACGGGGTCTGGAGACCCTATGTGTTTTAGCGCCCATACTGGACGGGGTATGGGGACGGCCCGTTTCACCCTCATACCGGACGGGGTATTGAGGTTTATAGTTTTGGCGCCCATACCGGACGGGGTATGGGGACGGCCCTGGAATCTGATTACAAGTGTTAAGGGTTCACGGGTAGCAGGACCCCTATGGATCCCCATGGATACTAGTAGGCTGGTAAAAGAGGAAAAATATGTTGTGTAATGATTGAATTACAAAAGGCGTGATAAGTATTATGTTATACAGTTTATATGATTTCATGATGATGATAATGTTATTGCTTTCGTATACTGTTTTATGAATTTCACCGAGGTAAGTGGATGGTAAAGGTTTTATTATTGATAAAAGGATTTGTTGTAAATTATGCTCTATTGGTCTTTTTGTATTTTCTACCCACCTTTACCTCCGTGACGGTGAGATATCGTGATGTCTTTACTGGGCTAGTGTAGCTCATTCCTTATTTAATCATTTCAGATCAGGAAGACATTGTTCCCGAGCCCGTTCCGCAGGAAGACGACGAAGGGGACGCCTAAAGACTCCATAGTCATATTCATAGCTTTTACTTTCGAGTTTCTCCTTTAGTTAGTTTGATCTTTTATATTTCGAGCACGTTTTTGGTTTTAGTGTAAGGGATGTTAATCGAAATTTTGACTTCGCTTCCGCATTTGACATTTTTAATACACATATTTCATTTTAAATTTTCGAGGCCGTTACATTATGTGGATCCTCGCATTTGATCGTTTGCTCACTAATGAAGAAAAAAAGCATCGCCCAACTTGTTAAGGATGACAAGTGTCTTAGATGTCATGACTACACGAAAAATTTTTATGCCCTTCGGGAATGCCATATAAGTAGACAGTTATAGAGTAATTTAACTGACATAAAATATTATAATATTCTTTTTTTCATCTTCCGTTTGACAAATAGATAAAATAAAACTTAAAAAAAAATGTGAGTTCTCGTGGTGTTATGAGTTGAAAGATGATCTTTCGGACAATTGCTTAGATTTTTTAGAAAAATAAATGAATACATTTTTTATGACAAGATGAATTTATCCACTTTATCTAGCTCTAACTTTATTCGTTCTGCATTAAAGTTCTAGATAGCTTGCCTTATGTCCCAAGTTCGACATGTACAAGCTATTTCCATTAAATTCCCTCGGGTTAGATGGAGGGCCCCACCCTTGTAGTGGTTCAAGTTCAATATGAATAGTTTAGCTCGTGTTAACTTTGGTGCTACTAGGTCATTAGGTAGCCAGGTTCATGAATAATCTAGGTACTAATCATTAGTTGACTACTAAGATTTATGTACAACCTCAAGTTTTTATGGAGTTGTGCTATTCTCAAGCTTTATTGTTGAAATTGACTTCCTTTGTACCAAGCAACTCTTCCTTAATCAAATCAATAATAATAATCCCACTAATGATATGGAAATACAACTTAGTGCTACATTTACATTAAACTGGGAGATCTAAATATCCCACATATACATGAAGGACAATATTTTATGTTGGTCGTCTTACTACGCAGGCACATGATTATCTTGTGGAATACATTCTTTTAACCCATGTCTCCCATGAGCTCAACCATTTATTATACCTAGACTAGTATGATACAACTTGGGATCATCTTGTTTGATTTTAGACATTTTATTACTTTTTTTCTTTTTCATTTGTGGAAAAAAAAAGGGCCAAAATTAAAATCTATACAATTATATTTGAAATAGATACAATAATAAAATATATAATTAATAAATCCAAATTTAAAAACAAGAAAATTTTTAAAAATTATAATTGATATAGAATTAACATACTCATAGTATGAGAACAAGAGTATACACTAAAATAATACAATTACCTTTTAGAACAATACAATTAAAATTTGATTAATACATTAAAATATGAACAAAAAATTATCTAAACTAAAAACAATAGAGTTATGTTTGAAAAATATATCCATATTTGAAAAAAAAAAGTCCTAAACAAAAATTAAAATAGTTTTGAAAAAATTACAATTAAAAATAGAATTAACACATCTAAATATAAAAACAAAATATCATAACTTTAAAATATGATAGAAAAATAAAATCAGTACCTAAGAATGCAACTAATATATGATCTAGTTCGATCTAACAAAGTCATATGTACGAATGTTATAATTTAGTCACGAAATCATTAGACATGAAAAGAAATAATGTAACATCCACCAAAATCTTTTTTTTTTTTCATTTTTTATTAATAAATATAATTATTTATTTATTTAATTTATTTTATTATATTTTATTTTAATGAAAACAAGGGATAAAATTTATTAAGGATTAAATTGAAAATAATTTTGGGGAAAAAAGGGTGAAAAATTAGGTTCAATGGGTATTTTTGAAAGAAAAATTAGAAACCGGAGGTCAAAACACAATTTAGAAAAATTTTACCATATCAGACCCCGGTTAGCAGCCTCGACCAATCAGGACGTGCCAAGTGGCAGAAGCGCTGACGCGGGAGGCCACGCTATGGGAGCCACGTAGGCGATCCACGTGCGCGCGATCGAACGGCTGAGGTCCGTTCCTGCGTACACGGACCACCCAGAGTGAATTGCGCACAGACGACCTAGATTGGATCGCGATAAACAGTATAGATTTACTCCTTATTTAATCGTGATCGGACAATCTAGATCAAATGCGATGGATGACCCAAATCAAAAGCTGATGGGTATAAATAACCTCATCTGCACCCAAACCCTAACCCTAGCTGCTAGAACCCTTGGCCAAAGAAGACAACCCAGTCGCTGGAGAGCCGACCACCGCCACTCGTTGCCGCACTGGAACCCTTTCTGACTGCCAGAAAAGGTAAAAAAAAATTTATTTTACACGAAATTCAATTTTAAATCCACCTATAGCCAAATCAGAGTGAAAGAATTGGCCAATTGGCCGGAAAACACCGACGAAGCCTGGCGCAGCCGTCGCAGGAAATTTCAGAAACCGCCTCCGATGAGACCCTTTCTGATTCCTGTTTTGCGTAATTTTTTCACTGTTATGATCACCGTTTTCTTCTCTATAGGTTGACCGAAGCGAAACACCTAACTGCAATGTGAGCCGGAGGAGCCGCCACACCGAAGAGCCCTACCGCCGGTGAGTTTCGGTTTTTCGTATTTTTTCGGTCCACCAAGGCCCTTTAGGGTGTGTGCTCATAGGAATTGATGCAAAATCGGCCGAATTCGATCAAAAATGACCGAAAATAGCTAACCCGAGATGGACCGCCACTACGAGCGGCAGCACCGTCGTCGGAGCACGACGGAGCTGCCGTGCTGGATTTTCAAAATTGGCTGAGCGGGCCCTGGGGCTAATTTTGGGTTTATTTAGAACATTTATAGGTACTATAAGTGCGTTTTAATTCCCGGAGAAAAATTCAGAGAACCCAAAGACCGCTCGTAGGCGTAGTACCATTTAGTTTTTTGGCGTCAAATCAAGTAAGGACCCCTCACCCTATTTCCTATCATAGAATTGAAGTTTAAATAAATAATAATACGGTATTTTGTACAAACTAAATAGATGTGCATAATTAATTACGGATTGCTAATGGAGCCTGAACCGGACATTGTTATATGTGATTTATTTTACAGTATAAAAGTATGATAGTATCTGATTTATCTATTTTATAGTTTAAATACATGTATTATTGCCTTACTTGACCACTGTTTAATTTTGAGATTTGAGACATGATTACATTACCAGATGCATGTTTATTTGTTTATGTGATTATATTTAATTTGGTAATGGAGACCAAGGAAAAAACAAAAAAAGGTGTAATCAAATAAACAGATAGAATGACAGCCTTACTAGATATCCTGGGAGATGGTGGACGGACTGGGTACATAGGGAACCCTACCGTAAACGTTGTCTCATACCGGACTGAGTATGGAGACTTGGTAATTTGGTACTCATACCGGACGAGGTATGGAGACTTGGTAATTTGGTGCTTATACCGAACGGGGTATGCAGACTTGGTAATTTGGCGCTCATACTGAACGGAGTATGGGGACAGCCCGCTTCACCCTCATACTGGACAGAGTATTGAGGTTTAATCTCTTGGTGTTCATACCGGACGGGGTATGGGGACGGTCCGCTTCACCCTCATACTGGACGGGGTATTGAGGTTTAATGTCTTGGTGCTCATACCGGACGGGGTATGGGGACGGCCCTGTACTTGAGATTGTTAAGAGAAATGGTTCACTTGTAGCGGGGACACCCCTATGAACCCCCATGGATACTAGTAGGCTGGTAAAATGAGAGACGGTTATAATTTAGTTTATTGTTAATGGATATGAATTTATGATGTGTTCTATGTTGCTGATTGTTTGTGAAGTTATGATCTGTATAGTATTATTGTCTTTATAGGTTATTTTCATAAATTTCACTATGGTAAGTGAACGGTAAATAATTTTATGTTTGATAAATGAATTTGCTAAATTTAGTGCTCCATTAATTGTTTTAATTTTATACCAACATTTACTTCTGTGCTGGTGATATAGTATGATATCCTTACTGAGCTAGTGTAGCTCATCCTTTATTTAACCATTTCAGATCAAGAGGACCTAGTTCCAGAGCTCGATTTGTAAGAAGATTGCGAGTAGATGCTAGATACTTACTATTTCCCATTATTTTTCTTATTTCTCGTATTTCTTTCAGAGAATTCATTCTGTAATATTATTCATTATTTTTAAATTATTGTGCAAGGAATGTAAACCTTAACATTTTATTTCGCTTCCGCATTTAAATTATTATATATTTCTTTTT